ACCTAGGGGAGGTCCAGGACCCGTTCAAATAATCGTCGGAATTCGAACTCGAGTCGCCGGGTTCGCAGCGCAGCCCAGCACGCTACCCGCTACACTACCGCTCAGACACACACCGCACACACCACACTCCACACGTACACATATTAGACGGCGAGTGTGGAACGCTGCATGGTCTAAAACACATGCAAAGACCGGCGATGAAATGTCTTTGTTTAAATAAGCGGCTGGCGAGGAGGTGTGTGGTGGTGGTGGTGGAAGAGGACGGTGGGGGGGGGGGGCGGTTGGACAGCGAGCTTTGTCCCTTCTACAAATTTAAGTTACCGCAACAAGTTTTGTCAAAACAGTCGCCACTAAATGTAGCGTGTCCACTGAGCCAACAGCGGGGGGGTGGGGGTGAGCGGCCGAGCGGGGCCCCCGTACACGTGGCTCCGGCTGTCACCCCCCTCCCCCCCCCCACGCATCTCCATCAATTGTCCGTCGTTGTTTGCGCTTCAACACCCGCGCTGTGCTGTGCACATACAGCCAGCATTCACCGTGTGCGTGTGTGCGTGTGTGTATTACTTCCCCCCCTACCACCACCACCACCACCACCACCACCTGCCCCCACAGCAAAGACAAAGATCCCCACTTATAGCCTTCACCCACTGTTGGGGCAAGTGCTGTGAGCGAGCAGCACCTATGAAGGCCGGAATGGCACACGAGGGTGTGGGTGTCCAGTACCACGCCCGGCCGCCTTTGTCTCACTAGCGGCGATGTTTATTACGCGCCGCGCCAGGTGCTCATTTGAGGCTGAGTCGACCTAGGGGATGCCCAGGACCGGTTCGAATAATCGTCACTGGTGCTGGCCGTGAGCGGGAATGGAACTCGGGATTTCGGGTTCGCAGCGCAGCGCGCTAACCACTACACTACCACCACCCCCGTCTGAAACACACACACACACACGTGTACACACATACAGACACGTGTACACACGTTATATGTACATACAAATATCATCCGTTAAGTCTACAGAGACTGGCATGTAAGGGCCGCGTATGCAAACACGCACATACAGCCAGGGTTCCGTTTGTGTGTGTGCGTGTGGGAGTATTGCTTCCTGATAGTCTATAGCACACGTACATATATATAAACACACACTACTGTAAACACAAATAACACACGTCAAGTCTACAGAGGCTGCTGGGGCAAGTGATGTTAGCTCGCACGTAATAATTACCACGTATGCAAACACAAACATTATAGCAATCATTACAGGTGTGTGTGTACTGTGAATAAAGCTTCCTAATCGTCCAAAACATATATGCACACACACGTAAATATAAATATCACCCGTATAAGCATCTAATAAGGCCCGTACAGACACATACACGCACGCACATGCACACAAACACGATCACACATTCAGCACGTGCACTGCAATATCCACATGCATGCACACAAAGACAAAGATCCCCGTATAGCCTTAATCGACGTTTGGGGTAAGTGCTGTATAGCGAGCACCTCTCAAGGTTGGAGAGGCGCAGGGGGCTGTGTGGCCAGCACCACTCCCGACCGCCTTTGTCTCCCTTGAAGTGGTCCAGCGAGTCGCCACTGATTTAACAGCGAACGGGAATCGAACTCAGGGATCCGGGTGCGTAGCACAGTGCGCTAGCCACTACACTACCGTTACCCACACACGCACTCACTCAAATACACAACCAAGCACACATCCACACATACACAAAAAGACACGTTCACACACAAAATACAAAGATCCCCCGTACAGCCTGAACAGACTGTTGGGGCAAGTGCTGTTAGCGAGCCTCTATGAAGGGTCGGAACGGTACAAAGACAAAGACCCCCCGTATAGCCTCAATAGACTTTTGGGGCAAGTAGTGTTAGCGAGCACCTATAAAGGCAAACACGGCACGGGTACGTACGTACATGTATACAAACACACGCTAATATAATAAAATAAAGGCAATGCAACCTATACCGGACTAAACGAGAATTACATTATTGCAATTCACAGATTGTAACATGTCTCCAACAATACACTATCGGTATCTTGCAATAATATAAGTTGTGCTATTTGCTGTCACTGCCATTGCGGTCCCATCGCTAACGTCACATTCTACATTTGTAACGTCGCATTCTGTGGCCCACATTTTTTATTAACCAAAGTCATTAAGAACTACTTCATGCAAATTCCATTTAAATAGATTAATATATTCGAGTGCAGCCTTGCCCATGCTTGCACTTTTCAATTTGCGTAAGGGTGCAATTTGTCCTAGCATGCGTTATCCACTGCCGAAACGTGCTTTTTTATTCTTTATATTCCAAACAGCTATGAATCGTGGAACATACATTTTTATTTCTGTCTCTCTGATTACAATGTATAATTATCTATGTTTATGTTTAATGAGTGTGATGATGACGCTTTGGGTGACAGATTGTGTGCCGTAAATGCGCCACGTGTTTAAGCAAAAATAAAATCATCTTTTACGAATTAATATTTACTTATATGTTTGGTGACATGCTTAACATCTTAACTCTCGTGTCATTGGTTGCATTTTTGTAGTTAATGTAACTTGATGATCCGAACCCTATTGGATATCGATGGGAAAAGAGCTTTGAAGCACATCAGATTGCTCCAAGTTAAACACGACTACTTCTGCGCGCACGGTTAAGAACTTGTCGCTCGGAAAATATTGCAACATAATACAAGAAAATGTCAACTATTATAATCTATCGTTCGCACCTCTGCCGGTATAAATATCATGCCTTTAGCTAAACGATTATCCCACGTGCTCTGAACTAGTTTGTCAACACGTGCTGTTGTATAAACCTGCCCACACACGAACATGATGATGATGTACACAAAGTATAACAAAAACACGCAACACAGTATAATCAATAGTACTGCACTTCAAATTAATTCGGTGACGTTTCGGGCAATGACCCTTCTGCATAGACAAAGACAAAGATCCCCCGTATAGCCTTAACAGACTGTGGGTGCAAGACAGATCACGACTTGTGTTTGCCATATCACGGGATGTATAATGTATGGCGCTGTGCTCGGCGTTTCCTCCATTGCGTGATGGCTAAGTTAAACCATACATCACACGTAAATGAACGTCTTTCCTATGTTCCACTGTCAAAATATGCGAACGTTAGGGTTACGTTCGGATGGGCGATTGGCTATGTACGACACGCGTATGACAATTATTCCAATAATTTTTTATATCGTCTCCTTTCCACGACCGAGTTGTCATGTAATAACCTTGGCCAATTCCAGAAAATGTGATTAGCTATTACCGTATGCATCTTTTACAATGTTAACGCTACCGTTGCAACTTTAACGGTGCTGTTTGTTGTCTTCGCAACCGTGATTAAAATATGTATTTACTCCATAATAGAGTTTTTTTTGGGTTAGATCGCGTAAATATATAAATGTGTCGTTAAACCCGCCACCATCCGACACGGCCAATTAGTAAGGTTTGTACAGTACACCGGTGTGATGAAGCGTAAACCCACAACATTTACAATTACATTATGTATATAAAAACATTGTACATACAATGTATATATATATAATCGTGAGTATATTAATACAATTCTCCAAACGCATCATCTCAGCCGCACGGTTCACACACACACACATATATATAAGTATATATACAAACAGATAACTTGACGGGCGATATCACCCGGCATTCTTCGAAATGAACATTGTGAGACTAATCCCGAGTAAAATCGTGACTTTTCATCCAAGGAGACCTCGCGTCTAATGCCAATGCAGTTAACCAAAAATAAACAATATATATACAGTAATGTAATAGACTGAGACTTGCTAATTACTAAGAATATCGCGCGCGCCTGCCAGCCTCTCTTTGTACTGACAAAGATTTTACATTGAGACGTATTGACTGTAGGGGGACAGCTATTGTTAGCGAGCACCTATTAAGGCTTTTGGGGGGGTAATTGCAATTAGGGCTATACTGAGTACCCTTAACTGAATTTACGATTACCACAGTGATTGCAAATGAATTACGAGTTACACAATTACAATTGTACTTGAGCATATGTCTGTTATATGTATGTATATAAGATAAATTAGGTGTGTGTAAATATATACGATACGTGCATATGTCAACTTGGAAAAAGATTATATACATTTAGCGTTGAACACACATACAGCATTCGGAAGCAAAGTATTTGCAAGCATTGATTTACGCCAAAGTTAATTATTTAAACTGCAGCAGCCACAAATAATATTAATCTCTGCCACACACACACACATTTATCTCTCGTCCCATCTGTGAAATAAGTCGACAATCTTATATACTTCAACTAACACAGACATCGCAAACTTTCAAACCATACAATTCGAAAACGACCACTCGACCAGACGATCGTGACACGTTCCGACTTAAAGCGGCTTGGTTTACGTGACGATACAGGGGCAGCTGCCACAAGGAAGGTGGAGGGGGTGTCCCCTAGGCTAAAAGCCGATGCTATGGACGCAATATAAACGCAGGCTGTTATGATTTTTGTCGTATTCACAGCAGAGGTCGCAAACGGGTTTTGATTCCCTACCCGTACCCTACCCGAAATGAGTGACAAACGGTTACTCACCAGTGACTCACGGCCTACCCGTACCCGTACCCGGCCGCATCAGGGTCGAAAACGGCTACCCGTACCCGTACCCGTCCGGGTACGGGTAGCCGGGTATTGGGTAGGGTACGGGTATCAGGTACCCGGTTGTGACCTCTGATTCACAGCAGGAGAACAATCTACACTCGAGTGTAACGGAGGCTGCGATCAAATAACCGCCTCCATTCCGTGGAGAGGGACTTTGTCCAACAGTGGATTGAACATGTGCCGTGATAATCATTGTTGTTCTGCTGATGGTGATGTTCGGGATGACTATTATTTATTGTCGGTGAATGTTTCGATGTGACGATGAGTTTGAGCGCCCTCTTGCGTCAAGCAAAAATATTAAGGACACAAATTCATAAAACGCGATAATATCTGGGTAGAGAAAACATGTTTTTTTATTATTAGAATTTGTACAAAAGTGGAATTTGAGGCTTTTTTTTAATAAGATATATAACAAAAGTGCTGTGATAACAATGCGACTGCAGTAGAAGAGCCCCTACACATTTACGAAGAAGACAACACAAACACGATTATTATCATCATCATCTTTACGATCGTGGGCGAATTGAAACTGCGTTTTTCTTTTTAATAATACACGTTAAGTGAATTCTGTTATCATACATCAACATCTTTAAATATATTTATATTCGCATAGATACATATTCGTAAAAAGTACCGCCTTCTCGTGGACCTAAAACGATTAACCACAGCGAATCGGATTTTGACAAATTGGATCTCTAACTCTTTATAAAGCCGCCTATCGATAGGCTTTACTAAATAATAATATTCTGAGCCAGGTTTTAAGGGTTGTTGTGTGTGTGTGTTTTTTTTTTAAACAGCATATATGTTGTTATCCAGATTTAAAACAATAACAAAAAAAGGAAAATCTTGTGCCAATATTAAGTGGTAAATAATTTGTTGATAAAAAAACTGAACTGCATTTCTCATCACATCCATAAGGCTCCCGTTCGGGGCACAATGCGCGTGTAAGGAGTGCAAGCACGTTCATTGAGTGTGGTTATCATGAGTGGTTAGTATACAATACTATATATGATACGGCGACCATATTCTACCGAAATAATGATTCACATTTTGAACAGGAAGTATAGAATAACACGTTTTGAAACGATGGCGTGTCACCAACAAAACACATAGTGGAATTTCTAATTGTTATATATATAAAATAAAAAATGCATCCTTTCAATAAAGGATATAATGATACGGTAAATATATTTTACGTGGACAAAGGGAGTGAAAAGGTAAAAGCGAAAATGAAACTTACAGTTGGTTATGGAATGACGGCATCGCTGCTTTGTTTGGGACGGGAGGGCGAAAGAAAGAATTAAAGCAACTTTAAGAGCCCGACGAACATTTCTCTCACTTTCCGAGGTAAGGTTAAACTGGAATGTCATTGTCCGAGCACAACGCCTAACTTCTTTAAAAAACAAAAAACACATCGACCACTTCGAAGTCAGGGATATCACAAAATAATAATAATAATAACGTAACAATCGCTCTTTTTAGGAATATGGTCAGCCCCTATCATCTGTGCGCCCGTCACAAAGAGAATCCATCGGTCCAAACGCTTCCCACAACACCCCACCACTGTCTTCGAATGTTCTTGACGTTGTCGTTGGTTCATTGTCGTCAAGGCTCAATTTGTCACTCGATAGCCTGTTTGTTTATTTGTTTGTTTTTCCGGAACGCTGCTCGACAGGCAGGCTGGCTGGCTATCTGGTTTGTAGATGTATCGGAGTAAGGCACTACGACTACCACTAGAGTACAAGGTTACAGCGCCTTCGCATAAAAACCCTGCATCACTGTATTTGCGTTATTGTCATTATACCCTATATTCATATAAGCATATGAAAACGGGATATTCAATACTGCAGGAGCACGAGGAAACAATAAAGGTGAGATGATGGATGTAGCGAGGTTCCAAGATAATTCACGGAGCAGCGTTCGGGACAGCGTTTCGGCTGAAATGAAGCACTGATTCCTCGTCCTGCGTAATTAGGTCCACACAACTGACTCCACTGGATGTAACCCAAGATGTGACCGAGCCCGTTTATGCTATGTTTGCCAATATATGTGTGTGTATATATACATACTGAACTATGTATGCGAATCTGTTTGCAGTTGCCGGTAACAAAAAAAAAAACGAAAGTTGAGCATTGCGTTTTTGGCGGCACGGAAAGCGTGATTTATGTGTTGCTGTTTTGGCACGAGTTGAATGTTGAATCACACAAACAGCTACGAGACTGTCCCATGGAGCAAAACCACCTCGGCAGCCACGCACACGCGACTCATCCTCAACCAGGTTCCGCGAACTAACATCCTCCCCCCTCCTATCATCCTCTCCCTATCCATCCTTCCCCTACCGTCAACCCTGTCAGGCACCTACAGATGAGGACATGACTTATTACTCATCAACAACATCAATTATAATAATAATTATAAGGAAACCCCCTTCCCCCCCCTTCGTACTGTGATCTCGAGATAGTCATATATCGAGACGGCTGTGAAGTCCACCGTGTTGTTTGTCCGGGTCCCAGTAGCTGGAGCAGTGCATCATGCTGGACAGGTGGTCGGTCTGCCGCGAGCAGGCGAACTGCAGCCCGTTGGTCGTTCCGCCGGTGCCACCCCCGCCGGGACTCAGCTGCTGGTGCGAGTGCGGATGAGCGCCGTGGCCGTACGAGTTGAGCACCCCGCCCGACAGAGACACGGCCGGCACACGAGGGTAGGGGCTGTAGCTCGCGGCCGCTGCGGCAGCTGCAGCGGCGGCGGCGGCAGCGGCGGCCGCGTGCCCGGAGAGGTGATGCCCGCCGGCTCCTGGTACCGACGATCCGCCGCCACCACCTACTACGGGACCACCCGAGGTCACCACACCACCGCCGCCAGCACCGCCACCTCCGATACTGCCTCCTCCTCCGAGCCCCGTGCCAATGCCACCACCGCCACCACTACCACCACCTCCTCCTCCACCACCACCACCTATGCCACTGATCGCTCCGGTTCCCGCCGACGAGTGGTGATGATGGTGGTGTTGCTGCTGCTGCTGCTGTTGCTGCTGCTGCTGTTGCTGCTGCTGCTGCTGTTGCTGCTGCTGCTGCTGGTGATGATGGTGCGCCGTCAGCTGATGGTGCGCGTGATGGTGCGGGTGGTGGTGCGGGTGGTGGTGCGGGTGGTGGTGCGCGTGGTGGTGCGGGTGGTGGTGGGCGCTCAGCTGATGGTGATTGACGCCCCCGTTCTGGCAGGGAGATGGGTAGCTGGCAGCGGCCGCGGCGGCCGCGGCAGCAGCGGCCATGTGAGCCGGGGTCTGAGACGGCAGTGACCACGCCGAGTTGAAGGTGGGCTGCAGGTACTTGCCCGGCCCGGCCGACAGGTAACCCGCGTAGGGGCCATCGTTGTTGAAGAATTGCCCCGCCGAGTATGGGCTCGGCGGAGGTCGGAAGGGCCTCTTCATGCGCCTCCGTCGACGATAGTTGCCCTTTTCGAACATGTCCTCGCACGCGGGGTCAAGCGTCCAGTAGTTGCCCTTCCTCTCGCCGCCGCCCTCGCGAGGCACCTTCACGAAGCACTCGTTGAGGCTGAGGTTGTGGCGGATGGAGTTCTGCCAGCCCTTCTTGTTCTTCTCGTAGAAGGGGAACTTCGAGATGATGTACTGGTAGATGCCGCTGAGAGTCAGCCGCTTGTCCGAGCTCTCGCGGATCGCCATGGCTATGAGCGCAACGTACGAGTAGGGCGGCTTCTGCGAGGGGTCCGTCTTGCCGCCGTCTGCATCGACACCGCCGCCTCCTCCTCCGCCGCCGCCGCCTGTAACGCAGTTGATCCCCAGGGGCGGCTTGGTGTCAGGGCTCTCCCTGTCGCGCTCCGGACTCGATGGATCCGAGCCCATGTCCACCAAGCCGTCGACATCTCTGCTCGCGAAGGTAGCCATCGACAGTCGCCGTCAAGTCGCACGCCTGCGCAAGGCGACCGTGTCGGCTGTCGCTGCTGGGCACGTCTCTGTCCGCGTGAATCCTCGCCGCTACAAGTGAGCCTTTTTCTTTTCTGTACACGCGAACGTGTAAGGCGTTGCGTCTGCTGCGTACGCGTGCGCTTGCGCGGTTGCCGTGATGGGGATGATGATGGAGGCTTGTATGGAATTCGCGCTATATGTGTGTGTGTGAGCATGTACTGCCTGGCTAGAGTGTGCCTCCTCTGTCTGTGTGTGAGTGTTCACTGCCTGGCCTAGAGTGTGCTGTGGCCCCTCTCTCTGTGTGTGAGTGTTCACTGCCTGGTTAGAGTGTGCTGTGGCCTCTCTCTCTGTGTGCGTGTTCACTGCCTTGGTTAGAGTGTGCTGTGGCCTCTCTCTCTGTGTGCGTGTTCACTGCAGCAGCGACACGGGGCGTTGCTGGACACCAACCCGCGCGGGAGGAGGGAGGATCGGCGTTTGCGGCCGAGCTCGTTCGGGGCGCGCGAAGTTATCGCAACACCCTCGTAGCCCGCCAGCCAATGGGGCAGTGCTCGTCACGAGTTACGCCGAGGAGTTTGAGTCTGCGGTGGTTGCTGGTGGGTGGAAGGGGGGGAGTGGTGGTGGTTTTGATGGGTGGTGGGTGGGTGGATGGTGGGGGTAGTCGTGAAACAAAAAATAGCCAACCACCCAATGGCGAGGCAGGCTGCGGATAAGTCGATTTCTGCGCGTGTCCGTGCGGAGAAAACCTTGGGATCGACGCCGAGAGATGCAGAGACGCAGAGAGCTCGCGTGCAGGCCAACACTCTGCGTATTGTGCCGTGCGCGTGCCTCTCTCTCTCTCTGTGTGTGAGTGTGTTGTGTGTGTGTGTCAGTGTGTTGTCTGTGTGTGTGTCGGTGTGTTGTCTGTCTGTGTGTCGGTGTGTTGTGTATGGCAGGGGCGCGCGCTGCGTTACGAAACTGGCGCCATCCGAGTTCGATTCTCTGCTCGCGACCAATAACAGTAGGCGACCATTTGAACCGGGCCCCGGGGCCTCCCTCCCCTAGGTAGACTCAGCCTTAAATGCGTGACCCGGTGCGATGTGTAGACATCGCACATTAGAGGGGATGAAGGCGGCCGGGCGTGGTGCTGGCCGGACCCACCCCGTTGTGTGCCGTGGCGACCTTCATAGGTGCTCGCAAGACAGCACTTGCCCCAAGAGCCTTGTCAGCCGTGGTGGTGGTGGTGGCGAATTGAACACGGGACGGGCTTCGTAGAGCAGCGCAATCAGCACAACGCTACCGCACTCAAAGCAAAGACAAAGGTCACCCGCGTAGCCTCAACAGACTGTTGGAGCAAGTGTTGTTCGCGAGCAACTGTCGGGGCGGGCGGAGCGGGGGCAGCCCCACGCCCTGGCCGCCTTTGTCTCCCCAGTGGCGGTGTTTACACGCCACACGAGGTACTCATTTTAGACTGAGTCGACCTAGGGGAGGCCTAGGACCCGGTGGTGGCCGTGAGCGGGAATCGAACTCGGGTGGCCGGGGTTCGTAGAGCAGCGCGCTAAACGCTACACCGCCGCTCCCCAAACAACACACGTCGCTCTAAGATCGCTGTGCATCGTACGCATGTTCCTTGAACTTCTTCCGCACCGTACGTGCTAATCGGAGGATCTGCACCGACGAGACGGAGAGAGCTTGGGCACAAAACTCAACGGACGTAGAATGTACCGTGGTAATAATAAAACCGCGTTATAAAAGGCACACGCGTACATTGTGACACGGGATAATGCTGCTGTTTTGCGTATCAGCCAATGATTAGGACGAGCTCCCCCTTGACATAACGGAGGATTTTTCAACCGACGTAAATTTGTATATCCACATGTTTTTTTTTTAAAGTGATTTAGAATAAGCTTGACCTGTCATAACTTTAGCATTTTTGACAATGTGATCTAGTAAGTACATTCGTATTGTGTACATTGTTGTTGTTTGGCACGGAACAAATGGCTCCTTTGAGGATGGGAGTCAATGAACTCAGCTTATACCTCCACGACAAAGACAAAGGTCCTGCCGGTATAGCCTTGACAGACTTAGGGGGCAAGTGCTGTTCGCGAGCACACGCACGCTCACTCACTCACGACTCGTGAATACATTTTGTAGAAGTTGACATTTTCAGCAGCAAAGAGGAAAGGAAGAAGGCTTTTTTTGCCGACGGATGTTAAATTTGTTTATAAATCACAACATCGTTGTGTGCGGTAAGAGTATAGAAATGCATTCCTTTAGAAGAGTAAACAAGTTATTAGGTCTTCTTGGTTCTTTCGGTAAAGTCACGTAGGAAAGAATTTAATAAAATAAAAAAACGAGAATTATTTTATTATGTTTTATTTTTATTATTTTATTAAATTCTTTCTACGCGATGACTTTACCGAAAGAACCAAGAAGATGAATCCCTGCAGTCACGAAAGCTTTAAATCGAAAGTTATTAGGTGATACTGCTGCTACTACGTTGGTAGTGGGACACAAGTACAAACAACAACGGGCACTATAGACACACTCGATAAAAACGCTGCCTTGAACAATAATCGGCGACGATTCGAGCAATGGCCCATCTTCAGGGCACTTTTTTTTATAGTGCAGCGGTACAGAAACGAATCGCGTCTGTAACATAACCACCACGCATTTGCTCTCTGGAGTTAAAGCGGGCCGAACGTTGAATGTGTGTGTGTGTATATGTATGTGGATGTTTGTTTTACAGGATTGAATATCACGCGCGTAGTTCGCATTGCAAGAAGGCGAATAGCCGGATGAGTTTGTAGAGACAGACAGAGAGAGAGAGAGAAAGACGGGGTCTAATTTTACTGAGCTCTGTAAGCAGAAGATGATTGACAACAGTTGGAATATATCCTAGTTTGTTTAACTTTCGGTGCTGCACCAGCGAATTACATTCCGGATCTTTTTTTTTTTTTACCAAAACGGCTTTATATATATATGTACAATGTACACGTGTGTGTGTGTATATATATGTGTGTACAATGTATCGTGGGGAGCGGTAGTGTAGCGGTTAGCGCGCTGAGCTATGAACCCGGCCAACCGAGTTCGATTCCCGCTCACGGCTAACACCAGTGACGATTATCTGAACCGGTCCTGGGCCTCCCCTAGGTCGACTAAGCCTCAAATAGGTACCTGGTGCGATGTGTAAATATCACTGGGGAGACAAAGGCGGTCGGGCGTGGTGACAGCCACCAACACCCCCTTAAGTGTACCGTTCCGGCCTTTATAGGAGCTCGCTAACAGTACTTGCCCCTACAGTCTGTTCAGGCTATACGGGGGATCTTTGTCTTTTTTCGTGTACAATGTATATACGCGTACAATGTGTTCACGTAACACACCTCGTACGAAGGCAGAACAGAAACGGTAAAGTGTATCCGCGAGTATAGCTAGAGAAGCACTCTCGTTATGAGACTAAGAGAGAGAGAGAAAGAGGAAGACTATGGAATATACTCCGGATAAAGTGCACACATGACACGTACATACCAAAACCAAAGATAATTATAAGACGCCACCGTAAGCTTTGTGTTCGCTTGTCAATAAAAGTTATGTACATCTGGCCGCGCGCACACACACACACACAAATAACAACGATGCCTCGTGTTGCCTTAACAGAATGTTGGGGACAAGTGCTGTTAGCGAGTAGCACCTATGAAGGCCGGAACGGCACACGAGGGGGTGGGTGGCCAGCACCGCGCCCGGCCACATTTGCTTCCACACACATCGCACTAGGTATCAATTGAGGCTGAGTCGACCTAAGGGAGGCCCATGACCGGTTCAGTAAATCGGCAGTGGTGTTGGCCGTGAGCGGCAATCATCGGGCTTGCACCGCAGCGCGCTAACCACTATGCTAATACTCCCGCACACGTAAAGCCCACACTGTACACACACACACACAAACAAAATGGAACAAAAACTGGAAAGTGTGTAAATAAGCAACGGAGAGAAAAAGACGCGCGCGTGTGTGCTCGGAAATACATCGAGGTACAGAAAGGGGAACACGTGAACTCGCGAAACATGCGCAAGTTAAAGATGTCATTTTGACTGTTCGAAAAAGTGAGTGGGCTAAAATATTGTTTTTATTATATTTATAAACGATAAAAGTGAGTGGGGCTCAAATATATATATATAAACAATAAAAGTGAGCGCGCCAATTTTTTAAAATAATAATATTTATAAACGATAAAAGTGAGTTGGTCTCAAATATATCTATATATAAACAATCAAAGTGAGTGGGCTTGTGCAGGACACGTGGTCGAGACTAACAACGGAGCTCCATCCAAGGCAAGGCGTTCGCTCAACTTGATGGAGGAGCGAGCGATTCAATAATTTTCGTGCAACAGGTTGAAGGTGCCCGGTCTACGGTTATATTTGCAGGGCCGTGCGAGCTCCATCGAGCAGTGGCTGGATCACGGCTGCTGATGCTGCTGATGACGGGTACAATCACGCAATAATAGAGTGATGATCGCATGGGAATGGCGACTTTCACGCAAGCGGCGTCTACGCAGCAATTGCTTGGGTAGTTGTGGATCGCCGTGTTTTGTCGAATTTTAAGTTAAACCCATCCAAAACGCGTGCCTGGTGTCAACAAAGTTATACAAAATGCTGTCACAAAGGCAAAGACAGCGATCCTTGGTATAGCCTTCAACAGGACGTTGGGGCAAGTGCTGCACCTATGAAGGTCGGCACGGCACACGAAGGTGTGGGTGGATAACCCCACCACGCCCGGCCGACTTTGTCTCCCCAGTATTGATGTTTACGCACCCACACCAGGAGCTCGTGTGAGGCATTAATAGGTGCTCGCTAACAGTACTTGTCCCAACAGCATGTAGCGTGTTACAGGCTATATGGGGGATCTTTGTCTTTCTGATTATACTTCACCACGAAGGTCAGTGCAGGTTTTGTAAAACAGGCCCATTATTATAACCATAATAACAACCTTTAATGAACATAGCGCCGTTCATATTCAAGTAGCTCAAAGCGCTGCACGTAAAAATAAAACCGCACTCACAAATGTAGATACAAATCTGAGCGAAGTAGAAAGCTCATCATAGTAACAATAATATCAATGAGTTCACGGATCACTCACGCGAGGAGGAGGTGGGGTGCTAACCACTGCGCCACCGCTCTCCAATAAAACGGAGCTGCGTTTTCCCTGTGATTCCAGATCTCATGGGACACCCTGTAGGTTGATACAGCGCAGTGTTAGACGACGATCACAATTGCGTACTTAGCCCAAGATGAGGACGACCCGATTAGACCGCCGCGTTTAGTTTTGCGATGGAAGCGACGTGGGGGGGGGGGGGGGGGGGGGTTGTCGATTGATGGACGTACAGCGGAAACAACATTGAGAGATGCCGACAAAACGAACGGGCGAGAGATTAAAATGAACGACTCTTCAGGGGCATGTAGCAACAACACCTCGTATATCTTTCTAGATTTGAAGTTTTCGTGACTGCAAGGATTCATATTCTTAGGTTTTTTCGGTAAAGTCACGTAGGTAAAAAAATTAAATTAATTGATACAGCTATCGTGTTGTGACGGTTCCACCTGAAAACGGAAGC